TTATAATAATTGAAGAAATCAAACTAACAACCAATTACAAATTGTAACTATTTTTTGTACATTTTCTTTTCTTTTCTTTTTTTGAAAATCTTATATTAGATTAAAACGGATACACAGTAGGGGAAGAAAGAGAGAGAGAGAGGGAAACAAATTGATAAGGAAGTAAAACAATAATGATCAATATACAATTATCATATTATCAAAATGATTTGCTCATAAAGGATATATACATATATCAGATAAAAGTACAATAAAAGGGATAAAACCAATCAAGATGCTATCTTGAGCGTTCTGTGTGAAATTCAATTATCATATATAACGAATAATAGAGATAGTTTTATATTCATCAAAACTTTTAAACTAATTGAGAAAAATTACTTTTAACCATCATATTTATGGATTGAAACACATAAATATTGGTACAAGAGGGCACCAGATATATATGCACCACATAATAATAATGAGAATGAGAAGAGATAAAGAATATAAGGTGTGTATAATAAGAAAAAGAGAGAACAATGACGATCACAAGTTAGTGTATGGTAGTGAAACACTAATAATAGTAATAATAGTAATAATGGAGGAAACGGAAAGGTAAAACCAGAAAGAATTCTTTTAGTCAAAGAAGTTACAGCCACTTTTTATGAAGAAAGTAAAAGAAAGTTACAACAAGATCAACATCGGCGTCAATTCTGAACCATATCTGATAACGTATCTAGCCACTGTGTTACACCATCTCTAGGACTTCAACCAAAGGGTCGTGAATGACCAACCGATGCCAGTTCTGGACAGCTTTCTTTCATACCACGACACCATGTCATACACTGACCGCCTCTCCGCTTTTCCTAACCAATCCCAGCGTCGGCGAATAATGCACGGCGAGAAATTCTCTGGGACGACATTTGCCGAACATTTCCAAGTCACCGAAGCCGATGTTTCAAGACAGTGACACCAATTGCATTATCGTGTCTGTGCCCGAACACACGATGCTGAACCTCTGCATTACTAAAATGATGTTGTCATTGGATGTCAGCAATCGTTCGGAGACAACGATGATCAAACACAGAGAGTCGTTTAACATCCTCAACTCGGAGAGGCCAGGTATCGATAGAATAAAAATGATTGTATTGAACCTATTAATTGCTCAATTCTATCTCTGTAAACTGCATTTAATGAGAAAATCAACACTATCTCTAAATCCTAATACAAAAATCCTTAATCTTAGAAAAAACATTATCCTGGTGGTACTGTATGTTATAGACGAACTAAGCGGATGGCAATTCTAGGGCATTTTGCGCGGAATTTATTCATACATTTGGCTACAGAGTATTTTGGCGCTATGGTTGATGTCAGTTTATGATGAGAATCTTAACTTTAAATTCTTAATTTAAATTTTAACCAAGACCAATGTGGGGATAGAAACTTCCGTTTGAGACCTTTTAAAAGTTCGAGAATATGGATAATCAGTATCCATGAGAACGAGTTTCTTATTTGTTCTTTTTTTATTTACACGCAGAGTAACCTGATAGGAACTTAATAGATTAATTAGCAATGCAAAATCTGATTACACTTTGTAATATTATAGTTTTCCTTTCCATAAACTAACCATTTGCAAAGTCTATTTTCTGATTGGTTAAGAACTGGTTAAAAATTCGTCGCGGTAGATTCAGGTATGTCTCTTATACTATAAACTAACCAACAAAGACTGAATACATGTTATCAATGAGCACATACTGAATCCTTAACAGACTATAGCGAAAAGAATTTCAAAGTTTACCAAAAAATTTTCAATTCACGTTAATCTTAACATGATTGTTTTCTTATTCTTATTCCCTCTCCTTTTATTTCTTATGTGTATGTTTTTACCATGGAGCTTGAATGAAGACGTATCCATACGCATCAGAGATGAAGTTTACTTTCTTTCACTAACACTTAATTTACATGAGAGTTGTTGATATTCTCCAAGTAGACTATTTTTTGAAACTAATAAGTGAAATGTATTCAAACCTGTACTTTAGACGATGAAAAAAATGAGGTCATAGAGATGAATGTTTTCTAATGACTGTCCAAGAAAATTATGCCTCCCAAACGCTACACCAAGATTGATCAGTATTTTTAGAAAAAGAATCTTCATAAATCTGGAAACAATTACATCTTATTTCGTCAAGATTATTGTCTCATTCATCATCACCAAAAATGTATCATCTAGCTGTCCAATGATATAATGCAATCGTTGAACATATTAACGTGAATTAGTAAGTGTCAACAAGATTGCTTCAAATAAGAAATAAAATGACCGTATTAAGGAACATTCAAATCTATCTAATCAAATGAATAGATCAGGACATATTATGATCAATTCAGTTTGCTTGTAAATAAAAGCAGAGGAAATCTGTTAATTCTTATTAATAACAATTGACATATTAGGGTTTTAGGTCGGCCTACGGAAAATTCTATCTACGGATGATTGAAGGTTCCTCTAATACGACACAATATATAGGAAATTAAATAGATCATACAGTAGCACTTCAACGTTTTTAATCCACAGGTTAATAGAGATAGAGAAGATGGGACTATCAGTATAACTTTACATTCTGTAAAGAAGTGAAAAATTGAAAAACAACTCTGACCTTGGGAGACATAATAAAGTTAGTTAGCTAAAGATGACGACAATTAATCATCCGATAACAGCAAAAGAAAGAACTAACATACAACAACACAAAACTTAATCTCTTCTTAGTCAAGCTAAAATTATGTTAATTAGTAAATGATGACAATTACGGGATCACAAAATCGCAATATAGATATGTAAAAATAAATTACTAGTTGTAACCCATTGACTTTTACATAGAAACTTGTAAATTAGAGTTCTATTAAAAAGCAAGTGTGGCTAGATAGAAAAAGAACGGTAACTACTGAATAAACACCAACTTCATTGAAATTGAACTTGAAGCCTTTCTATGAAAAGCAACAAGAAAAATCATCCACTAGAAAACAGATATCTAAACACCGAAAAGAGACAGAGAGAATAAAAAAGATTTACTTTCAGTCCCGTTTAAAAATGTCATGTAAGTCAAGTCAATTATCACATGACCAATTCACATGCCAATTCATGAAAATCAATAGCACATGTTCACACGAACATTTAGACTGATCACTGTAACGATATGTTTGTCTAGGTCTTGGTTCTGATCGAATTTCATCGATCAAGTTCCAATATACCTACTGATCTAAGTGATTCGATATTGTGTGCAATATGCTTTGATGTTGGATAGCTGTAACTAATTAGCAGGAAGTCATGCATCACACAATTCTCGTGATAGTTGACAATCATCAGCAAGATGATCATGAGTGGATTGAAATGAACCCTTTTCATGAGATTCAATTCCATGTATCACCACCACCTAACACAAACACACATATATATGTGATGTATGACTGTTCTCTTAATATCCTGCTTCGGTTTGGGCACTCGGGTAGTTTCCTAGCCCTTACACGAACTGTATGATTTATGTGGCACATATCTATTTGGTGCCTTCTTGTACCTATGTTTATGTGTTTAAATAATAATAATAATAATAATAATAATAATAATAATAATAATAATAATAATAATAATAATAACAAGTTCTCTCAATATCAATGTTGAAAATGAATAGACAACAGCATAACTGTAAATCATAGTAATAACATTATGTTAGTAACATCTATTTGTCTAAAAATCAATATATGGTTTTTTATTATCAAACAAAGCACACACTCAAATTATAGTTGACAATATGAATAAACAAGTGTATTTTGCCACTAAATTTTAGGTTTCAAATCAAAGTGAGAATGTGATACATCATCATTAAATTTCAAATATGACAACAAAATTGCATAAGTTCGATTGAAATAATTTCAATATATACAGAAACTGTAAACTAGCATTCTATTCTCTCTTCCCAATCCTATTCTATCCTGGAATGTATTGGCATCAATGTTGTGACAAAGGGAAGAAGATAGACAAAAGATAAATGACTTTAAAATTTAAAATATTCCCATATTGTACATATTTAGAACAACATAGATATATAAGCGAACAACATTGTTTTCGATTAGATCTTCATCAGGCTTTACTCTAATATACAGTAATGTATTTATATGTATATATGAAATTGTTAAACCAATCAAGGTAGTTTATGAGTCAATAATAACTATGGAAACGATTACATAATAAGTGAAAAGTACAAATTGATAGTGCATTAGTTTTTGATAAGAATAATAAAGGCTCAAATCAATGTTACATAATCGGAAATAGGTCAATGATTAGAAAAATATAGACGGTGAGATAATATTTATAAAGTTATAAGATGATGTAATAAGGACTGTTCAGATAATTGGACCGTGAAACGTATATTTGAGAGAAAATAAAATAAAATGGTAAGGGGAGGGTGAACACCTCCCTTCGTGGTTAGGAAAAGGTAACGTCAAGACAATACGCAGCTCGGTTCTATCACACTTTATCGATAGCGGTCATGTAGTGGACAGAAACAAGTCATTTAAAGTTATTTATCGTATTCCCACTAGTTTTCCCTATGGTGTTCGATCTTGTCTCTTACACATAGCAGAAGCTATAGGGATTCAGGTCAACAATCCAAATCTTTGTGTTCAAAAGCAATATATAACACCCTTATCTCTCCCTGATGAAGATCTAATCGAAAACAATATTGTTCGCTGATATATGTTGTTCTAAAAGACCTCCAAATGGGACGAAACTCCCATCCTGAATTCCATTACTAGTAACATTTCACCTATTACATATAAACTTGTGGTAAAATGATTACATTGAGGCAATCCATACAGGATCTATATATACCAACTAACTTCAGTAAAAATATCAACAACGTAGTCATCTCAAACATGACAAATTAAATTATAAAGAATTTATACTTTGAAAGGGAATAGATGAAATCGATGAGTATATACTTTTAAATATATACATTATTACAATAACTTACTTCGATCCTGTTTTCGTTTTTTACAATCAAAATCTAATCTTCGTCCTTCGAGTTTTTTACGATGATACTGGAAGGATAAATTGGCAAAGATAAATCTTAATCGGTAGAATAGTTTATATAATAAAATGAAAAGTTTATATACAATATATCAACACAAGAAAAACAACATATCATAAACGATTAAGTAATATCAATTTTGTTAGTTTCTCATTCTCTAAAACATTCAATCTTAACTGTTATGCATACAAATCAAGCATAATGAAGTGATAAGAATTGTTTAATGAGATTGTAGAGGGAAATCAATTATTAACTTGAATAAGTCAAAATGCAATAAAACTATTTCCGATTCGGCTAAACAGCATAAACTAATAAGCAAAGATGTATAGTGGATAACAGTGGAATCCAGGACGCGTGTTTCGTCTTGCTTTGGGACTCGTCAGTTGGATGTACCTGCATCTCAGAGTTGATGTTCACTCTAGGACTCGAACCCAGCACCATTCGCTTCAAACGTCATCACGTTATCCACAAGCAAAACAATACCAAATAAGCATAAGCTATTGTTTTATTTCTGTACAACAGACCAATATCATGTATCACAAGTAGACTTCATCTAGTCAACCAGGGGGTGGAGAACTGTTTCATCCTAGTATAAGCCAAACAGAAAAATGAGTACTCAAGACCGTGCCACAGATCGAACCTCAGAATTTAAGTTTAAGCAGTAAACGCCTAAAATTTAGAGCATTGAATCAATGTCCAGTACTAACTAAGATTAATTTATGATGTAAACTATAAGTAGACAAATTATTCAAATCATAATGTTGCCAAACAATTCGATTTACTTTGTAAGTAAGTAAATAAGTATACAGATTGATATTTTTTCAATAATTTTCCGTAAATTGTGAAAAACATGTTCATAACCATAATGAAATTAATGAATCAGAATTAAATTTCGATTTATAACACAATGGTATAACTAAATAATAACAATCAACACTATTTTATTCATTACAGTAGTGTGAAGTATGTACAACAGATTGTTATTCAGTGTTGAGAATTATGAAATGATACATAACTTGATTAGTAAATAAACCATTAGATACGTAAAGTTGTGTATAATAATAATAATAATAATAATAATAATAATAATAATAATAATAATAATAATAATAATAATAATAATAATAATAATATAGAGGTTTACCAAAGTAACAAACTGTAGCTTATATGCAAAGATGGATAGTGACTAACAGTGGAATCCAGGATGTATGTTTCATCCTATTTGGGACTCGTCAGCTGGATGTACCTGCATCTCAGAGTTGATGTTCACTCTGAGGCTCGAACTCAGTATTGTTCGCTTCAAACGCTATCGCGTTATCCACTTAACTACTGAACACTGATAGCCACTTGCTTATGCAATGGAGTGAATTTAAACTATAGCTTAGTTTGAATAAATAAACACTAAGTATTATATGATCAATGTGTATGATGAACAACACATTAAGTCAGTTTTGATCTATACCTTGTACATAATTATATTGTCAATGGAATATTCAAATTAATTAGATAGAGAAACTCCTCAATTGTATAGCCAAATATTATGATCAAAATTAAGCTGAAACAAAACCTTTGATAAAAATCTTCAAAATACATATACTTACATTGATCTCTTTTAATTCATGTGTTTGTACACTATGTAGAGGATCTAGAAAATTCTCTTTTACATGTTCTTCCATAGTGTATTTAATATTTGCTAAACATTTAAATGTTTCACCAGCTTCTACAAGACATTGACCTAGAAAGAAAGTTATATACATGGATATAGTATAGATTTAAAAAAATAATTTAGCCTATAAATAAAACTAAACAATCAACCATTTAAACATACTTACAAAAATGATGTACTAATGAAAATATTTAATGTATAGTTGTGGTCGAAAACTAGTCAAAACTTAAAATCTAACTTATTCTTTAGAGAAAACGCTAATGTGAATAGTATCATTCTTGACACACTTGAACTTTCACAATTGATTGATTACTGGGTGGTGATCAATTTCATGTATGTCGAGTCCTTCTTAATGCAGATCGAATGCTAGCGACTAAGTTGCAATGTGGCCACCAGTCTAGGTGACTCAATGTTGCGTGTCATGGGGTCGAATCCGTCAGGAAGCACCAGTTCCCTCAAGATTACAGGTACACCTTGCTGACGAGTACCAAGCAGCACGAAATTCGGGTTAACAGGGTTTCCAGTTGACTACCTCCAATCATCAACTTATCTTAACAGTTGAACTTTACTGGTCACTTCTTTAAAAAGGTTGTATTCTTGAAAAGTTCTATATTAAGATGAATCAGCTATTCGATGCTTCCTGATTTAAAACGTAACACTAATAGATGTTAGTTCGTGATGAAAACCACTTACAGATGATATATTTCCTTGACAATACTTTTTTTCAAAGTTTATACGGAAAATCAATCTGATGATTGGGTGATATCTTTACAAAATCTACATAAAAATACACTGAACAATTGTGGACTGTTTGAAATTTTGATAATATAATCAGTCAGTCGGCTACAACGTAGGATCAGGTACATATATGCATCGGTCCAAGTTGCCATATCTGATTAGCACAACAACATGAAAACCGGATTCATAAAAGTAATTAATTCAGAGGTGGTAATATATAAAAGAAAGATTGCATATAAGGATATACTACAGCAAGAAAGAATTAGTTCATAGAAAAATATGAAGCGATTTTAAGCTCTTAGATTAAGGGAAGACAGGGGGTGTATACACCGACACCATTGTGATCGATTCTGAGCCAAGTCACTGTGAGGCGATATTAAGTAAACTTTTCGATTACCTAAATGTAGTTAGTTTCTAAAGAATATAAAGTCGTCTGTCAGAGACTGTCAAATGGTGACAACATTTGACTCATTAACTTCACAGTATACAAGTTCTGATCAATGATGACATATTATAGATAAAACTGGGGTCGAATGATGAGTCAGATAGTGAATACTACTTCACTGACTATTCAACCAAGTAGTGTTTGCTATCTTTGACAATAACTAGAGGAGGTAGGGTGTTTAGTATATAAAATGACGATGGTGTGATGAAATGAAAGGCCTTTGTTAATTAAAAATGAACTAGTGTAAACTTCAATACAAAGACAATTAACAAATATTGATCAGATCAAGATTTAAGTATGAGAAGGTTATCAGAAAACTTATAACAGTGTTAAACACAATATTAAACATACCATAACACGAATCAGGACCTAAATCGCGACCAAATTTTACCATACATTCACCTAATTGATTTTCAGGTTGAGGATAAGCTGCACATTTTGATTTCCCTTGTAACTTATTTAATGTATTCATTGTCATTAATTTGGCACGATAGGCTGGATTTGGTTGTAGATATTCCTGTGTTTGTGCTATGACATCTTCAAATAATTTAGAAATTGTATCAACTTTCTAAATGATAAATTTAAAAATTAAACATATAATCAAAGCTTACTTTTTCAATTTCAATATATTCATCATCTAGTTTTGTACCCTCTGCTCCTCCAATTTTCTCACTCATAAACTGAAAAAATGGGAAAAAATGAAAAGTAGATTTGTCTTATTAAAAACAATTACATTTACAAGATTACTAAAAGTTTTTTTATTGGCTTAATGATCCCAGATTAAATATTATAATGAGAATGAAACACTGTCTATGAGAATAATACAGTTACTTACTTACTTACGCCTGTTACTCCTCATGAAGGAGCATAGGCCGCTCACCAACATTCTCCATCCAACCCTGTCCTGGGCAATCCTTTCCAGCTCCTTCCAGTTGTTACTCATTCTTTTCATATCTGCTTCTATTTCTCGACATAATGTGTTCTTTGGCCTTCCTCTTTTCCGCCTCCCTTCAGGATTCCAAGTTAGGACTTGTCTCGTGATGTAGTTTGATGATTTGCGTAATGTATGTCCTATCCACTTCCATCGTCTTTTCCTAATTTCTTCTTCAGCTGGAAGCTGGTTTGTTCTTTCCCAGAGAAGGATGTTGCTGATAGTATCCGGCTAATGGATGTTGAGTATCTTGGGTAGACAGCCATTTATAAATACTTGTACATTCTTGATGATGGTTGTTGTAGTTCTCCAAGTTTCAGCTCCATACAGTAGAACTGCCTTGACGTTGGTATTGAAAATCCTCACTTTGATATTGGTTGATAGATAGTTGTTTTGAGTTCCATATGTTCTTCAATTGTAAGAATGCGACCCTTGCTTTGCCAATACTTGCCTTTACGTCTGCATCTAAACCTCCCTGTTCATCGATGATGCTTTCCAGGTGTGTGAAGGATTCTACATCTCCCAGAGTTTCACCATCAATAGTGATTGGATCGCTGTTCTTCGTTTTGAATTTGAGGACCTTGGTTTTCCCCTTGTGTATGTTGAGGCCTACTGATGCGGAGACTGCTGCTACACTGGCTGTCTTTATCTGCATTTGTTTGTGTGTGTGTGGTAGGAGGGCTAACTGGTTCTGAACTGTCCATTGTATGCCGTGTTTTCCCTCAGATGTCGAGGTCTTCATAATCCAGTCGACCACCAGAAGAAAGAGGAAGGGAGAGAGTATACAGTCTTTTCTGACTCCGGTCCTTACTTGTAATGCGTCTGTCAGCTGTCCTCCATGCACGACCTTGCACTGTAGTCCGTCGTATGAGTTCCGGATAATATTGACAATCTTCTCAGGAACTCCGTAGTGTTGAAGAAGTTTCCATAACGTCCGCCTATCTACACTGTCAAATGCCTCTTCATAATCAATGAAGTTAATGTACAGTGACGAGTTCCACACAACTGATTGCTCGACGATGATCCATAGTGTCGCAATTTGGTTTGTGCACGACCAATCCTTACGGAATCCAGCTTGTTGATCTCGAAGTTGGACGTCTACTACGTCTTTCATCCGGTTCAGCAGCACTCTGTTAAAGACTTTCCATGGTGTTGGCAGTAGCGTAATACCTCTGTAGTTGTCACATTTGCTCAGATCTCCTTTCTTTGGAGTCTTGACGAGGTGCCCTTCTTTCCAGTCCATCGGCACTTGTTCCTCCTCCCAAATCTTTTTGAATAGAAGGTAAAGCATGTTTGTAGTTACTTCGATGTCTGACTTCAGTGCTTCAGCTGGTATGTTGTCGGGTCCTGCTGCTTTCCCGCTCTTGATTTGTCTGATGGCCATTCTGATTTCTTCCGTCGTTGGTGGATTGACATCTATAGGAAGGTCTGCGTGTGCTGCTTCAATGTTCGGTGGATTCGTTGAAGCCGGCCTATTCAGGATTTCCTTGAAGTATTTTACCCATCTGTTCTGCTGTTGTTGAATTTCAGTGATTGGCCTGCCTTCTTTGTTCTTGACCGGTCTCTCTGATTTACTATATTTCCCTGCTAGTTTCTTCGTTGTATCGTAAAGTTGTTTCATATTTCCTTCCCTTGCAGCTTTTTTCGCCGTCATTGCTAGTCCTTCCACGTATTTCTTCTTGTCGGCTCTAATGCTTTTCTTTACTTGCTTGTTTGCTTCTATGTATTCAGCTTGTGTTTGGACTTTCTCTGCTCGTGTTCGGCTGTTGTCTATTGCTGCCTTCTTGTTTTTCCTTTCTTTGATCTTGTCCAGTGTTTCTATAGAGATCCATTCCTTATGATGATGCTTCTTCAGGTCCAGAACCTCTTGACACGTTGAAGTCAGTGCCTCTTCGATATCTTTCCAGTTGTCCCTCATAGTAGTTTCTTCTTCTTTCAGTAGATATTGTAAGGCTTGGAGCCTGTTGTTGAGAGCTATCTTGAATTCACTGAGTTTGTCAGTATCTCGAAGGGAGGCTGTATTGAACCTTCGTAGTGCTGTTTGTCCAGTTCTTCTTTAGCTTCAGTTTTAAATTGGCCACAACTAGATGGTGTTCTGAAGCTATGTCAGCTCCTCTCCTGGTTCTCACATCTTCCATTGTTCTTCGGAATTTTTTATTGATGCAAATATGATCTATCTGGTTCTCTGTAGTGTGGTCCGGTGAGATCCATGTCGCTTTGTGTATACGTTTGTGTGGAAATATTGTGCCTCCTATGACCGATTTGTTTAATGCACACAGATTTGCAAATCTTTCCTCATTTTCGTTTCTCTCCCCCAGTCCATGTCGTCCCATGATACCTTCATATCAAGTGTTGTCTATTCCGAATTTGGCGTTTAGATCTCGCATCAGAATGATGAGGTCCTTTCTTGGGCACCGGTAGGATTGATTGCAGCCGCTCGTAGAATTGATTTTTAATGTCGTCGTTGCTATCTTTCGTGGGTGCATAACATTGAGTAATATTCATTGTGATCCCCTCCTTTGTTTTGAATGATACTTTGATGATTCTGGATCCGTGAGATTTCCATCCTACAAGTACATTTCGTGCTACTTCGGACAGTGTTAGAGCAACTCCCTGAGTGTATAGAGCATTTTCCTCCTCGTGGTCAGAGTATAGTAGCATCTCTACCGTATTTAGCCTTTGTTGTCCAGCTTGTGTCTAATGGGTTTCGCTTATTCCCAGTACTTCCAAATTGTATCTCCTCATTTCCGTTGCTATTTGACTGGTCTTCCCGGTCTCCCACATTTTTCGGACGTTCCATGAACCTATAAAAATTGTTGCTCTAGTTGTTAGAAGGGGCATCGGCCTCATGGCTTCCGAAGGGACTCGGCTTTCACCATGTGGCGTCACAGTTCTTCTAAATGAAGACCTTATAACTCCCAGGGTAGAGTTTAAATGGTTTGAATTATTTTTTCTGGTAAGCGTTTTTTAGCGAGTTAGTTTTCTACGAGGTGGGGGTGCTAACCCCATACCCAGTCCTCCTCCTTTACCTGGGCATGGGACCGGCAGTAACTCTAGAAGAGCTACAGGCTCCCTTAGGCTGAAGTCACTAAATTTATGGATAAGGACCGTACCTTCGTTGTTTTATCTCTGGTACTAATTTTTGTTGTTATAGTAGTGATCTACCAAGTGCGACACTGAATCACACTTTTTGTAAGGGATAGTGATGCCAATCAGAGTGGCCAAACTGGAATGAATGGAGTAAGGTTCAAATGTGCGATCTACTAGTTGGTAACTGAGTCTCTCGACCACAAGACTACCGCTTCACTCCATTGTGTTGATCTCACTCATATTTTACCATAAATGACGATTTTTAACTCAAAAATATATTACAACTCTAAAAAAGTAACATGCCGTTAGCTGGTCAAACAATCAATGACTTCCAGTGTAGATGCCTTGTCCTGGTTTGGCTCCCTCTAATTTCCTTAAATCAACTTTTATACTAACATGCACAGCATATAAGGTGGTCTATAGGCATGAATAACACATTTTAACCATTTGCTTTAATGGAACTTCATATCAACAATAAACTTACAACCTTTATCCAGTACTATAAGCTTAGCCTCATTACTTACTCAACTGATTCTATGCATTCTAATTTACCAATGTATTTACCAATGTGTTCATCTTGTTGTGTTGATGCGGTATGGCAACCTGGACCGATGCACATATGTGCCTGGTCCTACGTTGTAGCTGACTGACTGATTCTAATTTACGCTATGTCTAAATGGCGTTGCGATTGGGATCGACACATATTTGGCTCAAGTTTTAAGTTATTTATAAAATGTAACCATATAAATTTTATAACAACCCGCTGAATAATAATAAGACTCATTAACCATAAAGCTTAGTCTACAAAAGCGAGAACCATACTTATATTTCGAAGGGTTTGAAGTTGAATTTAGTGAGCAATGAGATACCAGTTATTATTACTATACAGTGCCAAAGTAATTATCATTTCTTTACAAAAACTCGGCTTGTTAAATAGATCTTTGTCTTGACAAATTATGATAGTGACAAAACTATCAAGTTTATCAGACTTGATAGTTTGCGGGCTACAAAAGTTTCAAACGTCTTGGTGGTATTGGACATAATGGTAAAGACGAAAATCCCTATATCAACCAAAATTTATTATCTCTGAGAGTAAGATTTTCGACTGTTTTTCAGATCACTTACGAATGTTTGTTGCATCAAGACCGAAGACCAGAAAAACTGACAGCTATAAGACCGAAACATGTATTGATAATACCAGCTGAATATTATCAAATCACTTGATATACAAATAACAACATAAAACACTGTCTAAAATCAATATTAACCTAGTTTGGAGCACTCTCTTTAGATCGATCCTACTAGAAACCAATACAACAAAGTCAAAAAACTTTTTATAATACAGTAGGTCGAACTGGCGGTATTCACATCGTATCGATTTCACTATATGTTGCCCATTACAGATACTCTGATTCTTCGCAAAAAACGTTAAGAATGAACATTATTGATAACCGATGTTGACAATTGGCTGAATAAGACGGTAGTCTGTGTAGTGAATTTGTTTCTAGTGACTAAAACAGCTACATTTGCCACGAGTAAAATAACAACATATATAGTTAGTCAGTCAATCATCAATGTACAACCTGATACAAATGCGCTTGCCAAGTTGCCGTTTCACACTAACATGACGATGTGGATAGCAAATGAAATCAAAATAACGTAGTTGCAATGATGATGAGAAGGACCGAACACCAATAGTATGATATGCATGGTACCCATGTATGTATTATTTATTTATTTATTTAAACAATTGGTACAAAGGGGCATCAAATGCATATGTGCCACACAGGTCACTTGATTTGTGTGTGAGCTGTGATACTGTTCGGTTGTCCAAACCGAAGCAGGTGGTTTTCTTGTGTGACCACAACCGAAACCTTTGACCTAAACGTCTGATTCACAAGGCAGTGGAGCAACGTTAGGAGATGCAGTCTCATGGTAGCCGATGACCAATAATTGGTTCATACGCCATTTGTTCCCCTGGGATCCTGCAGCCCATGTGCACCATTGTTTTGGAATCAGGGTTTACCAACTACCCTATATGAGTCCTCCATATCCACCAACCCGGTTAAAGCGCCAGACATTCGCTTTTCTTCCTCTCAATTTCGTAAACAACACCCCCGCCACGAGAAGGCAGTAAGTATGACTTCCTATCAGTGGCTGTATACGCGTGGCCATGTGAGAACATTTCGAAAGGAAGAACTGACTCTCAACACCCTCAACCGTACCAAGGCATTTGAGGGCATCTGTGTTTCTGAGTTACAAAATAATATGACTGTATAGAGAGTAACTAATAACGCTTAGACTGATCTCTTACCATGTCGTAGAACATAAAGCGAACTCGTAAGAGCATTTCGTGTCATTAATAATCTTCTAGGCGCTAACATATTGTCTTCTGAGTCCTCCTACAACCCATCATGTAGACAATCACGAAAAGGTACAAACACCACGATCGAATAAATTCATTTTCAGATACCGTTTTTTTCCATTGATTAGTAGCAACCCTATCAGTAAACAATTTTAAAGAGGAACTGGAATTTTTTTGGTTTTAGATGCTAAATAGATTTGAAACGTACTGAGGTTGTGGAATACATTGTACGCAAAAACACTCTTAACTTTTAGCAGTGAAACGGACGAGACAATTTATGGACGAACCAATCGGACCCAAGATCTCGAGTTTTGAAATTTGAGGCAGAATTCATTCATTCATACGGCTAAATTACATTTTGGTATTGTAGCAGATATCAGTGAGTGATGAAAACCCTAATTCCTGGTGCTAACTTATGGATTCAACTTCTAGTCTCAGTTCCTCACACTAATTTACATCTCTATTTCACCCGTAATAAGTGGTCGAAGCTGTTCAAGGACACTTGCATCACCAAAAGGCTGTCCATAAACCATTGCGGTGAGACTATAATTTATGGACTAACCAATCAGACTTGGAATAACAGGTCTCAGATTTTGGCGCGAAATCTGTCTATCCATTTAGCCAAATACCATTTTGGCATTTTAGCTGTCAGTTCGTGATAAAAACTCTCGTCAATCATATTCCTTATTTTTCACACTGCTTTTTAACCCTAATTTAGCAGCAGTATGTAGATGGACATCCTTAAGATAACTTCAGCGTCACCCAAAGGTCGTCCATAAATTATAGTCTCACCAAAAAGCCACACGAAGATTAACAATTAAGAGACAAATTAACCAGACCAAACCTGTTCATCGAAGTATGTTTGGTATGTGGAATCTCCAAATACAACTTACGGGGAAGAAAACTAATAACGATTTAGAATAAATCGTCGTTAAATTGATTAAATGTGAATCCTGTTCATAGGCTTTTAATACATTTTCCACTATTACTCGTGGTTGTTCGTAGTTACACAGTTTGACTTTCGAACGACCATTCAAAGTATATATTTCTAAATTTTAATGGATCTTGAGCGACGAGGCATTTATACAACAACTGGGTTTCTTACTCTTGTTACCGAAGGGAAGGAGAGAACCTTAAGTCTTACTCCCTGTTTAAGTTGAATTTCGAAAACCGAGGACCATCCCACGAACACATGAGAGTCTTACTAAAAACATTTATTAGAAGCAACAGTTCAACAAGTAGTTTATAAGCTTTTTGCTGGTCTCGCACTGCGCCATATAGATAAAACGTGACATTGTCAATTTTAGGCATCAACACGATCGTAATTCACCGAAATATTGGTTTTAACGGAGAACTGGTCAGCAAAAAGATAGTGTACACACAATCAAGGATTAGCGGTCATTAGACAACACATGGAAAATGTGACATTGATCAAATGAAACTCGGTGGTTTCATTATATGGATGAAAATGTACATGAAACAACGAACTAATTGTCTTGAGAGCAACTCACCTGATTAGCTTTGTTGATTTGCTTCCTCAAACCAGCGAGAGACATTTTTGCAGACCTTGACGGAATACCATTCAAAACAACCGCGTTGGCAGACAACAATGAAAAGTGAGGTGAAAAAAAGCACCTAATGTCCAATGACACAGTTCGAAAAGAACACGAGGCTACTTGGTTTTTGTTAGTCCTGGCAATAAATGTTTATCGTTTGACCTAAATCTTTTTTGTGAGCGTCGGAAGATTGAGCTTTAAATATGTATTAAAGTAATTATTTACATTCGTTGATGATTCAATAAAAAAATAGAATCGAACAGTTCAAATGGTCTAGATAGTTCTGGATTGAATGAAGGATTTATTTACTTAACGAGCCACCACATCTAGTACCGTTTGATCACTGACGCCCCAACTTATGGCCCAGGCATATTTAAAGATAACAAGAAAATATTAGTAAATTTTAGTGAAATGCTGTCTGAAGTTCTTAAGATTATGTCAAGTTTTCTCCGAGATGACTCTTGTGAATTCTCCTAGACTATTTTAAACAACAGCAAATTCCAACATTTAACTACTCGTAAACAGTAAAACGCGTGCCCAAGGTCCATTCCGTTATGTTGTGTCTCAAATCTCGGAGTGTCATCCCTAAGTTTTGTGTTTGAACTGAACCAGAATAGGTGCTCAGGAAAATTCCCAGTGGTAGTTAGGATGTTGTAAGTCATTAAAAGGTCATCTCTGAGATGCCTATACTCTACTAGGTTCAGTAACTTGGAGTGCTCTTCAGAAGATATGAGTTTTATTCCCCGAAGTGATTCTTTGGTTTATCTTTGGATACGTTCCAATGTTTTCTCATCCTTTTGGGGTGAGAGAGGAAACACTATGTTTCAATACTCTGAATAGGGTTTAATAAAACAGACGTAAACATAGTCGAAAGTTCTACCGCCAAACTGGGTACGACTATGGGTTATAGTGTACCAGCATCCCAAGATCTGTAGTGGGATTGGACCATAACCACACCACCTTCAAAGCTGTACACGAGACTGCTCGGAAATTAGTTATTCAATATTTAACGCGGGGAAATACCTAACGATGGAGAAGGCAGGAAGAATGAATTGAATGAGTTGGAGTTGATCGGATGGCATGGCTCGGCCATGCAGGCGTGGTACCTTTGAATGTTACCTTATATCTTCTACTCATATTAAATATATTGTTCCTTCCCTAGCCTAACCTTGTTCTACATCATGTATTGGTAGTCGATACGATACAGTGAGTTGGTGTAGTCGATGGTGTGACTTCCACGTAAGATCTTATAGATTAGGCAGTTATATTATAGCAAATCTACAATTTTAGGATTAGGTCTATTATTAGATCAGTACTGATATCATAGTAGACCATAATTCTATAGATCCTCTTCAACTTAAAATATTCTCTAGGTGGGAGTTAACTTAAATTAAGAAGAGAAGAGATCCTAAAATTGAATTACGAAGAGACTTCGCTTGTCACCAAAAGCTCAATGTCATTCATTGTGTATGTATCTGTACATTGAACACTGTCGTGCCTCATAATACATTTGGAAGCATTTACTGACAACTGCCAAGGTCTAGATCATTCACATAGTTTTTGTAGGTTGCGTTGAAGCTCTAAAATGTCACCCTTAAACTTTATTGGTCTCCTGTGTGCATCATCAGCGGGGAGCATTCATATAAATAATTTGTTTATTGTATACCAAAACATTTAGTCTAGAGTATGTCTCTCATAGATGCACTCATAATTCACTGCTTACTGTCAGCTATCTGTCTGAAATTCATATGATCGCTATTCTCTACGTACTAAAAGAATTTTTGATAGCCATTCATGGGTTTTAGTGGTTTTATTAGATCCTATCACGATTGGACAATCAGGTCTCCACGCAACTATACAAACCGTATTAAATTTGGCAAACAAACTGGGACACTAAATAGAATTCTTCCTCTCTATGACTATACTTTTGTTTTTTTAGTTAGCCTGCTAGTGCAAATTGAAAAATAAATCATATGAACAGTATACCGGTATAGACGTCGACTGACTTTCTAATCTGAACTAAAAGTAATACCACAATCAGCACTGATATGACATTGATTATATTTATATTCTTTAGCACAAACAGGTCTAACCAACAGCTATCTTACTTCTACTCAATAAAATATCGCTAATTATTATAATCCCATTTTGTTTAACACTGAAATAATCGTCACATAGATTTCCATTTTGCGCATGTTAATAATCAAACCAAACACTTTAAAATTCACAGATGTATTTACCAATCAGTTGCTGCCTCCTTCTTTCTGACTTATCTTTCAGCTTATCAATGCCCGGAGAATTCTTAATTATTTTTTTGGTAACTTCCGGCGCGTAACAATTCTACTCGATATGGTATTGAACCAACGTAACGTTGATTCTGGTGAGAGAGTAGCGTAGTGGTATTGGTCATAACCACAATGCGAGGTAATCGGAAAAACAGATATTCAACACAACATGAAAACATGGCCAACATTAGTGAAAGCGGTAATATTCATTCGAGATTTAATCGGATGGCATGACTCAACCTTGTAAGTGTGGTCATTCATGTGTAAGGTATCCCTTTCATTCACAACGAGTATACTGTTCCAGCTCTGACCTAAATATGTTCTTTAAAAACACTAAACGTCATATTTCTGGTGGTTACGATACGACGAGTTATGGTAGACGATAATGTGACTTCCACATAAGATCTTGTGGATTAGGTAATCACATCATGACAAATCTTTACCTTAAGGATTAGGTATATTATTATGGCAGTAATGGTAACGAAGTAGATCATATTTCTATGGCTTTACCGATATCAGGCTTACTTAGCAGACAAAGGTCATCGAGTTTTTTAATGGGTACAGTGTCCAATACGTGTGTGGGGTTTATATGGACTGAGTGGGAGAGCATCTCAATAGTATGTATATTGCAATAACTTATGGGTACTTATGTGTTGTTAAAAAAACTATTTTGGACTTCATTAAAAATGCAATAATACCCAAGGTTCAATAATGACAGCAAAATATTCAACATAACAAAAAACAAGTCCCGTGTAATTGAGAAGAATATTGAGTTAATTTTAAAGAAGGGATGGAGGGAAATAAGGGAATAAAAATGAAGGAATCACAAAATACGTAAATAGTTTCGTAAGTGTGTTTGTGAGCACAGAACAAGAATAAATGATTACGAAGGTACGGTCAAATGAATAACCAAAGAAACTTAAGATTATAAATAAATACACAAATAAGAAAATAGCTCATTATTGCAGCAAGATTTAACGGAAGGATAAGTGTTTGTGCGGTAATAGCTTGAAGCGATGATATGAAAGTTTCAAGTACCTGCAAAGAATAATCAAATATCAATATGTATAAGTCATATATACTTTATGAAAATAAGATGAATCTGAGAAGTTAATTTATTTAAGTGTAACATAAGATAATTTGTTTTTAGTTGCAGACTTTGGATGTTTAGAAATATAATATGTTTAGAAGAAAAAGAAGGGATGAAAACAATATCTAGTGTGTCGGCGGACCAATAATAATAGTAATAATAACCATAACAGTTATAAATATGAACATTTCAGATATTCAGATGAATAGAAATAAAACAAACTAAAAAGTGAGAGAAGTTTCAAAAGTTATAGTTTGTTTTTCAGTCAACTAGGTCGATGACGGACCTTGTTTGTATAAATCATTGTGAAACACATTGATATTCAATAGGTGACAAATCCACTTTCGAAAAGAAAAATCGTGAAGGAAACGTCTTGGCCGGCTTATAATTTCGCTTCAACGGATTCTCACTGTTATTCTGTTCCACATGGTTGAGTAGCGAATAACGGAAAAATTCCGGCGTAAGTTTATGTAGGTTCTCGGAATCGCTAGAATATTTTCGTTATTGCGTAGGTTGTGGGATGATATAATAGAGTGCGAAGGGGTGGTTGCCGAAGAATAAGAAATACCGTTTATAAGCCGGCAGATATATACAAGATTTAATTTAGTAAGTCTGGTCAGTGGTGAGCATTTTCTCATATCAATAGGGAGTTCTTATTCTATTATCTAAACTACAGAGGGAAAAATGGCATTTCTAACGTCCAATTTGAAATTCTGCATGATTCTGGGTAGCAATATACAATCTTTATTTCTCATGGAGTCTCATTGGGATTGTAGGTGATGGCTTAAAACACACAAAAAAGGACAGAATGATAGGCAGTCCTTGAATGCCTTACTATTCTGGAGATCGGCCAAAAGTGTCGTTATCATTTATCATGGTATATAACTGAGATAAATCGCCGCTTTTTATTAAGACCGTTTTAAACGCGCCTTTCCATAAAAAATTATGGACGAAATGAAACTCTAGACCACTGGATAAGTGTCCAACGGTGTTGATGTCTAACTTTAGTCATTCCGTGATCTTGCTCAACCCTTCATCCATTGTATGAAGTAGATAACTGACTCCATCCGAAACGGATTGGACCCCATTCCTCATGATTTCTCACTAGAACTACAGGATATCAATCTTAAAGCTTGTCACTAGTCCAGCACGCGCACTGCTGAGAGGTCTCATGCTAGGACGAAACGACCGTCCATTGCTTCCAGGTTTTCAATGGTGGTCTAGTTTGTATGGACTCATGAATTCAACTATTAATATTGACAATAAACTATATTCCGAATGATCATCCGTTTACTTTGATTTCAGCAACTACAGAGACATGTTCCTGAACCTTCGATGAATCAACTAAGACATCAGCGACTTGGAACAAGTATCTGTTGATGCATTAGCTAACTAGATCATGAGATCACTACAAAGACATCACCGATTAGAAACGACGCCAGTCTTTTATACACCTTTTAAGGATTTCCTCCCTTTTTTTTCTAGTACTTTCATGGGAATTTTGTATTCTTCATGTCACTCTCGTGTTGGTTCCATGAGCAATTGACTGTACATAACTTTTGCAATGTTATGAAACTGTATACTCTCCTACCTTTACCCATAACTCAGTAGTGTGACATATACCTGGAAACTCTATCCTGGAGGTTATGTTAGTTAAAACCCGAAAATATTGTGAGCTCAGCGCTCATTATTTCATGATAATATAAACTATAATTCCCAAAGATCTGGGCAAGTAATCCTTAAACTCGATGGTCTAATGGTTAAGCGTTTGCGTGAGATCGAAGGTCCTGCGTTAGATCCCCGATTTCAGGGACGTAGTTGTGCGCTTCTGAGGAGTCAAATACTAAGACGAAGTATCCATCAAGTGCTTGCAGGTTCTCAATAGCGGTCTGATGTTGATCAGTTAATGATCTCGACCAAAATTCAACAGTCTCCAGAACCCCAAACTGACAGTCTTCAAACTGCTGGAGAAATAGTCCATACTGATTACATCATGTAATCGCATTTAAATGTAAATGATTACCCGACTTTGACAAAATAATTTCTTATGGCGCCAGAATTAAAAGCTACGTAGATCCATATGAGCATAACTGTATGTATGACACTTATCACCACTAAGTCATCGTGACCATACAGTAGATATATGAGACTTGAACTGTTATGAGAAAGAAGATAGCAACACATTTTAAAAAAAGAATTATTTGAATATTCAAAGTCAGTAAATTGATATGACCCCTAAAGCAGCTCATAACTCAGCAGCGAATGTCCTGGTTGAACAGTTTCAAGGGCAGTCGGAAAGCTTGTCGATGATTTGGTGCAACCAAATGGATTGATTTCTTATCACTTGTCCTCCATGAAACTCGCCCAACAGTCAAAACGGATAGCTGTCGCATGTCAACGGAGATAGTTTACGGCACACATTTGATTCCAACAAGATGGATGGCCAGTTCTGACGACAAAACACCGGTGAATCTGCTGTTTATTTATTGCAAACTAGTCATCAACGAGTACTTCCAGGCGAACACATAACAGCTTAAGTTAGGTAGTTATGAGTTACCAGATACTCTTTTGGTAACGTCAAAACGTTATGGCTCAAATATTTATTGACTTCTGTATTTTGTGGTGGTAATATATTTCCTAGTATTGCATACATAATGTTTAAAGGTTTGTAGTCTTACGCTCCAATTGTTCTTTTTCACCGTCTGGACTGAAGCCTACTACAACCAATCTACAGGGTTTTGGTCTTTGTAAAATGAGGAGTAATTACCAAAATCAAATTAGTACTTGACATGTACAACTCGGCAAACGTTTAACGATGTGCGAATTCTATTTGTCCATGTCTCCTTGTTGAGGAAGCCACTCGAGCAGCAGTATGAAGGTCCTTGTCAAGTTATCAATCAGAAAGCTAAACATCATCGACAAAGATGCGAAGGAGACATTTGACAAATCGACTAAAGCCTTCATTCTTAGATAACCAACACAGAGGAGAAAATGTCACATTGAACAAGCAAACTCAACTGCATTTTACATAGAATTAAGAGAACAACAGCACATTAACCAACGAATGCACGTTTCCAACGTCTCAGCAGATCACCAAACAAATTCAAACGCTACTTTTTACCTCGTAAGTTAATAAAAATTAAATACGAAAAAAATATTAATTAGTAAAATTCACACCTAGTCCATTAGGGTGGTTAAAGGTAATTGGTTTCTTAAACGCGGTGATTATATCACTATTCGCATTCAAATTGCTTGGTGAGCTCACCATTTATCTATATGTTAATTGCACGTATATATTTTAGAATGTTTGTCATTAATCAATGTCAGAATAGCTTTTTATTTAAATATCCCTGTGGAGTAGATTGGTTTCGTATTATTATAAAGTACCATTTACAGTCACATGTTTTTAGGTTATACAATTATATACAAATGTTTTAACTGTAAAGTAACATCACACAGCATCAATGCACATTTTATGTTTCTAAATATGTGTATTTACACAATCGTTTTCGCAAATCAGCACCACGTATTTTCGTCTACGTTTTTAGGCGTGTACTCTTCTTCCAACATTGGACACTCTGGAGGGAGCTTTGAGGAGATGGTTAGCATAGACTTATTTTGCAAATAATTTTTGTCCTTTCGCAAAGTCACCTAGTTTATATAGTCATTTCTGTTGACTACAAATTGTTGTCAAAATGTGACCTTGACTTTTTTGTTACCAATTTGTGATTGGTGTACATGACACACTGATTGATGACTATATCAGGACAAAACCTTGTGCGAATTTTCGATGGTTTTAATACGAAAATCAAACTATGTCAAAATTGATAGTGCCTCAACAGAACCACTGCTTCTATGTAGTCGAACGTCCTAAAGAGAGAAATTAGTAAATACAACTATTAGTACCTGTGGATCAACAGAAATATCCCCAACAGAATAGGGTCACATTTATATCCATAAGGACTCAAATAATTATTAGGGCAGTCCCAAGAGACATTTACGAAAAGATAAGCGACCAATCAACTCTACGACCTAGGATTCAGTCACGTAAGACCATCAAGAGTGGTACCTAGAGTACTGAGTTTACTACAAAATTATGTTATAATTTATAAGGTCGTTCGTGGCAGTTTTGTGTGATTATGCTTGAAAACCTCCATGCATACACAACATTTTGATTCAGATTGTCACTCCAACAATAAGTGTGAGTATATAAATGTTCATCCCTTCAGGTATATATTCTACTGATCTTTCGACTCCAGACAAGACGGTTATTATTTACCTTTTTGTGGTTCTTGTATTTCTTCTCTACTGAGTTTATACGATTCTCACGAACATTCATGTTGTTTTAATTTAAATTTTGATTACAACGTCTAATGTACTGAGTTTATTCCCTCTTTTATGATTGTGTTGCTTGAATCGACTGTCATTTCGCACTTTTTGATCGCGAAATGAAGTAGGTATACAGTACTCACAACACCCATTTTTTAACATGTAATCCCTGATACTTTTGTCACTGATAATTTCATAGAACTAAATATCAAGTTTTGAACAAACTGTGCGTAATCTATCCAGAAAGGATGTAATGGTATTCCTGTGTTAATACAAACGTGTATTACTTGAAACTGGTAGTTAAGTATTCTATCAATTTATCTACTTAATATAACTATTAGTTTAACAATTGAATGATAATATTTGCTGTGGCTGTTAAATAAATGTTCATTTACTAGTTACTTTGATTCGAATATCGACTGATCAAGAGCACGACTATATGAACTAACCTCCACGACTGTAATTTAGCCGAAGCCGCTTTACATCGGTAATAACTCCAATTTTAATGATTTTCATTGTTTTGGATTCACCCGAGCTTTAAGATTGGTTTGTTAGCATAGATAGATTGTTTCTAGCAGTGGTATTGAGAACGCGTGTTTCGTCCTATTTGGAACTCGTCGGCCGGATTCGCATGCATCCCAGTGTTGAGGTTCACTCCAAGACCCCGACCCAATAACTTACTTCTCAGGAGCCATCGCGTTACCCACTTAGCTACCGAGCTCTGATATCCGTTAGCTTGTGAGATCACCCAAACAACTAACAAAAGGATGGATTTCGGATTGTTTATAATTTTAACCCTAGACTTTCGGTTTCTGTCATGCTTTTGCTTCGACCTTTAACAATTCAGAATTCAGAAGTTAATTAATTACGTATCACTGCGAAATTTAATATCATGACTTATAATTACACATGAATTTTTCCGTCTAGCACTATAAAAACAAAATTTGGCCATTTCGTGTCTGAGGGTTTGTCTTACTCGTCAGTTGATTGAGAGTTGAGAATTCGCCAAATAATCACGTTTTAAAGCGTCCAGAGTAGAGAACTGTGATACAAAAACGATCATTGTATCAGCGGTTTGGCAATGTGATGTTTTTTAATATCTGCAATGAACATTAATTCACGAGGTTCACACAGTCACGTTTTGCAAAAACTCTGAGTAATGAAATTGTCCAAAGATAAAGGTATTACTTTGATACAAGGAAAGTAATCCTATCTATGGTTGACCTTTCAATCTAATCCGCACAAAAATGTACGCTCCTAAACAGAAGAGAACACAATTCTGTCAATAAGAAGTAGTAGTAACCGGTTGGACAGTACAAAAAATGATCATCCACATTCACGTTATTTGTCTTTAAATTACGTTTGGTATTTTAGGATTCTGAGGAGGACTCATGATATAGTCCTCTTAAAAAAGGTTAACGACAGAGGTGTATCCACTTCAATGTACTTATAGTGAACATCCCATGAAAGTCACCCCCAGCATGTGACTTAATGATATTTGTCGAGGTCATCAGGAACAGACAGCAGAAGTAATATATCCATGTGGTTTTCGGTTTCGATAGCATAAAGGCATTTTCAAACATTTTCTACAGATAATTACTGCGCTAGTTGGTACAACATGCATGTTATATATGTACTTCCCTGATAAACATCAAATGGAATGTGATATTTCCGCGAAATTGTTTTGTGTTTGATGCCATTTATATTAGAATTTGGCTGGGTCGCTCTAAACAGTGATTATCGCTAGTTGAACGATGGGTTATATAGACAATCAGTCTGTAGAATAGTGTGTGACTGTCTTCAATCATATTACTTACTTGACCGGCTACAATGGGCCCTCCAACAAAATTATTCGGCATATGTGTTTCAAAAAAATATTAGACAACAGAAAACAGCTTGAGGTTTACACTAAAAATGAAAAAAGTTGATGTTAGTAGCTATTTTGGGGTCTTTAGACGACAACACTTCACTTTATTATGTGAACTCCAGAGAACCATGCTAGCCTACGCACAGTCAACCTATCTAATTCGCTTCAAATATGGGATTCCCGCCGTTCTTCAATTCGTTCAAGGTTGTAAAGAGAAAGCGCGGTCGGGTTTGAAAGTCAGTCACTTTTTGTCAACATAATCAACACGGTAAGATAGAAACGACCTTTGGTTTAAAAATTGCTGGTCGATTGGTCGGTTGTATCGATACTTCTATTTGAGTAGTATCAGCCAGTTGGAATTTAATTAAGTCGAGAGTTCATATGCATCTCATCGGGAGAATTACTCCGACGGCTGGAATTGCGCAATTCCAGCTAACTAATCAAGTTGCTCGTTACAACTAACTCCTATTCTGAATCGTCACGGATTCTAAATTCCATGCCAGTACATCTGGCCGTGATTATAAGGTTGTCTTGATCATACTTCAGGATTGTTTGTTGTCGATCACTTTAATTACAAATGCATTCTGTGTTTATTTAGTCATTCCCTCTCTTCTCTTGTTCTTTCCTCGTTCACACTCCCCTCACACTTCAGTGCATTCAGGATGAACTCATACCGCCACAGCTAAATTTTATTCAGTGCCCTGTAGTTATTTTTCGTTCTTCACTTTTATTTATTTCCATTTTATTATTTTTCGAGTCAGTGTACACTAACCTAGTGTAATAGTTTTTGTCGTCATCTCCATTAATATCTACTAAGAATGGATAGTTCACAGCTGTCGATTTATAATCAATCCTTCATAGTTAAACAAAGTTCTTATCTTGTTCAGTGAGCCGTAAGCACCATTGATAGACTGTAAATTGAATCATTTCAATTAAGGTTATATTTTAAGATTTTTGGATTAACCTTGCATGTATTTTACGTCTCGCGTACAAGGTGACCTAGGATAGTTAGCATGATTTATTACACTCACATATGTCGTCTAAAACATTTTAGATGTATCAACCAATGTTGCAATTTTAGCTTAAGTAGGTCAAGAAAAAATAACTTTAGACTTCATCCTTCTTTTCTCCTAGTTGGGTTAGGAAAACTCAGGAAAGAAGGCTAGTTCATAAGCCGGCAACGGACAAAACACCTGTGGCATACAAGCTTTCTCACTAAGTAACTAACTTCTAGAACCTATTACTGGAAGTAGTGTCCAGACCTTCAATTAGTTCATTTGAAAGAATAGACACTCACAGAACCCTTCTAGGACGGGACCAGTACGTGCTCTCCGCATTCTTTCAAGATAAATAATTCAAGTCTTGGTGATCTATTTATGGACAGACGTGTTTACATGGTGTTCATGGGCTCTTTGAAGTATCTGTGATTCATCACGCAAGGTCATATCCATCTAGTAACCGAAATTACTATATTGCACTTTGTCGAAAGTCTGATTTATTTAAAAATACGGTGATTATATGGATATCTGTTGGTGTACCTCAGGCTGTTCACAAGATTGAATGTGAAATCATTTAAACCTGTTATTTTTAGGCTTACACGTTAACCTTTAAACATGGTGTGCATTCGTTCAAACTCCGCCTAGCACTACAACAACCTTTATTTAAGGTCTTAGCGTAGATATGTTCACGATGAGAACACCGTGAAACTATAATTTGTCATATAACAGGTGTCAAAAAATATACTCTCCAGTTCGCAACTACTTTTGCAGTATTTTCAAAACGTGGACAAATGTCGCTGGACATACTTTAGGCTCTCTTTTCATTCGGCTATCGTCGTGCATCATACATTTGAGGCCCTTCAATGTCCGTCGACTAATTTTACTTAACCGTAGTTTATTTTTATGGTCTCTGGATATGGTTTATAACTATGTATGGGCTGTTTGGTGCATAATTTCACGTAGGCAGTCATCCATGCAAATCAAGCAAAATGATTGACACAGATCAAGTAGTCAATCGGAAATATTCAACGTAAAACCAGACATATATATACATCAGTTCAAGTTGCTATATCCTGTTAGCGCAGCAACATGAATTTGTTAGAACAAATCTCAGAGTAGAAAGTGTAGCAACAATATTATTAGTAACAGAAAAGATTAAGCATTGAAGATACAATTTGAGACTTCATATTTATCAAAGGAATTGGTATTAAAATCTTTGGAGCTAGTGAGACTTTCCGAAAAATATGGGATAATCATCCACTATCAGTTTAGAAGGTTGAGACGATAGGCAGAACACCATGAAGAACAATTTAACTTTCCTCTAGTTGGCTACTCTTACTAAGGAGCCTGAATGGAATATCGACATAAACCTCTCAACTCTTAATGAAGTAAAGAAAACCATAGCTAATCTAAAACGAGAGAGTTTAATTCATTTTGATTATAGTCAAAATATGTTACAAAAATATATTTAATCTTATCAAAGGTACATTCGCATAAGTTGAAAACCTTAAACTACTTTTAAGAAGAAATAAGCTACCTATCTAGATGAATCACTCTGATTTTAACTATTTGATACTATTTTGAACATAATTGAGCACTTGTTTGCGTCGGCGGTTCAGTGGTAAAATGCTCACCTGCCACGCGGGTAGTCGGGGTTCAACTCCCCAAGTGTCCTGGCACGGCCGAGAGTGAGGAGAGTCCTCTCTCCCTCGAAATGCTTTTATATGGCCACGCGTATACACTCACTACCAGACAAGTCCTACTCACTGCCTTCTCGTGGCGGGGGTGTTGTTTACGAAATTGAGAGGATGAAAGGCGAATGTCCAACTCTTTAACCGGGTTGGTAGACGCAGAGTCCACCTAGGGTAGTTGAAGAACCCTGACTCCAAGCCAATGGTGCACATAGGCTCCAGGATCCTTAAGGAACAAGTGGCGTATGAACTTATTGTAGGTTACCGGCTACTATGAGACTGCATCTCATAACGTTGCTCCACTTCCTTGCGAGTCAGACGTTTAAGTCAAAGACTCCGGTTGTGGCCCCATAGGAAAAACACCTGCTTCGGTTTAGACACCCGAACAGTATCACAGCTCACACACAAATCAAGTGACTTGTGTGGCGCATAGGTATTTGATGTCCCTTTGTACCAATATTTATGTGTTCAAATAGATAAACTTCATGTTTTATTTTTATCGACTAGTTTCTCCTATGAATCAGACACGCGTTTTGTGATTATTTTAATTCACGTCATTCTCGTCTTGTTTTCACTACTCATTGTTCATTTCATGCGCCGGCTGAAAAATACATTTTAGATGTATTCAATTAGTGATAGTCAGTGGAGGAGCTGACGTATATACTAGTGTAAGTTGTAACAGCATTCCGTAATGGGAAAGGAGAAATGAACAAAATGGAAATTCGAGAGGGGAATTAATACTCAGTACAATTATGATGATATGAGATTCAATCTTTAGAGTCGGAGAGCATAAATGTAACTGGGTCAATTTCTGGCCATATCACCCTCTTTATATTTAGTATGACTAATAATATACTATAAGTTGTCAATGACCGTAGATTTCAAGATGAAATTATAGATTTTTTATATACTATATGTTGGATTTTTTTGGTTACCAAATACAATTCATGGAAAAGGAAATCAATGTCGATTAAGATGAGTTTGTGTTATGTATACAATCGATTAACTTAAACGCATTTCTGAATTAATACACTGGGGGTTATCAGTCAAAAGCTTCAATCTCTAAATTCTAGGTAGAGGGATAAGAAACAAGACTATAGAAGTCTTGTTCACTGTCTTGTAATTGTAAAATATTAGCATAGTGCCTAAACATATCACTATAGCATATGTATTTTCATAGTATTACATTACTAATTCTTAAATTTATTTCTGTTTAAATCAGATTTATAATTGATAAAAATTTGTTGAACACTATTAATCCATACCATTTTAAAGTTGGCATGGTGTTATTGACAAATAAGAAGAGATCAAATTGTTTTTTTTTTATTGATTGAGATCATGAACCGATTGATGTTACACCACTGTTGGAAGCCTGTAAGCTTTGAATGACCGTTTCGTCCTATTGTAGGACTCCTCCATAGTGTACATCAACAATCCTGTTAGCGGGCTTCGCACCCAGGGCCTTCAGTTTTACGCGTGAACTATTAACCACTAAGCCCCTCGAAATGCAAGTTGTTGCTTCAGGACTAGTCTACGTCAACACCTGAACTAAGGATAGGGAGTGAAGTAGTCGAACGCGTTGACAACTTCACTTATCTTAGAAGTCTGATCAGCCCTAATGGGTTGGTATCGGAAGAAATCTCAGCACGGATTCGAAAAGCTCGTTTGGCTTTTGCCAACTTACGTCACCTATGGCGAAGGCGAGATATCCGTCTATCAATAAAAGGACGAGTATACTGCGCGGCAGTCCGTTCTGTTTTAACTTACGGCAGCGAAACATGGCCATTAAGAGTAGAAGACACTCGTAAGCTATTAGTATTTGACCACAGATGCCTTAGAAATATTGCTGGCGTCTGCTGGGATCACCGGGTAAGTAATAGGGAGGTTAAACGCAGGGTATTATGGAATGATGGTAAATCAGTCGATGAGGTTGTGAATCTTCATCGACTGAGATGGTTGGGCCACGTGTTACGTATGCCTGAACACTGATTACCACGACGTGCAATGCTAACTGGAGTTGGGAATGGGTGGAAGAAGGTTAGGGGCGGCCAAACCAAAACGTGGCATCAGTTCTTGAAGTCATTAACTTCTAATCTGAATCATGTTGGTAGATGCAGACTACTTGGTTGGGGTTTGCGTGACTATCTTAACCAATGATTGGAGACTCCGTGTGACATGGCTGAGAATCGATCACAATGGCGTCGGTGTATACACTCCCTGTCTTTCCTTAAACTAAGAGATTAAAATCGCTTCATATCTCTCTCTCTACGAACTAATTCTTTCTTCCTGTACGATATATCCTTATATGCAATGTTTCTTTTATATATTACCACAACTAAATTAACTACTTCTATGTAATCGGTGTTCATCTTGTTGTGTTAATGAGGTATGGCAACTTGGACCGATGCATATTGTTATGAACGAAGAATTAAGAAGCCCAGACAACTACGAAAGCCATTTTCTTGGGACGTTAATTCATTTCATTCAAACCCTGTAAAAGGCTTATATTTATTTTTGTTCTTATCTTATTCTACATAACATGAGCTTTCGTTCTATGTATCATTCACTACCATACCCTTTTTTGTTCCGAAAATATTGTAATTTAAACATAATATTTTGCACCGTATTTTCTACCCTAATTCGCTGTTTCCGGCATAACTGTATTTTTCCAAATTATTGTACGTTGAGGTCAAGATATTCACTTGTTTATTCATGTACATTTTTGTACTAATCCGAATTCAGAATTCGGAGTGTTCCAACTGTCTTGTCTTCTCTCACTTGCGTGCTTGCCAACCAATCAGCTTCTAGAATAGTTATCTCTCTACTCCATCTCGAACTCACGCGTACTAGACTCAAGGTTAAGCTGCTCAGCCTATCACGTCAAGGTCATAATTTAGACTAGACAGCTCAAGGTCAAGTCATAACACATATATGTGCCTGGTTCTACATTGTAGCTGATTAACTGACTGAAGCCAGTATTCAATAGTATTAGTGTTTAACATCAATCTATTTTCAATTTCTTTTTCAACTCATCATTTATCACTTCTTTTTTCTTTTTTTTTTCTTCAATAAGAAATTATGAAAAAGAAAAGATCCGTTGCTACTGAATTAGTTCAACGTGCTTCATCTATATTACCAGCATTTACTGATATATTTGATGAAGAAACATTTTATATATTTTTTATTTGTCTTGTTATTTTATCATTTATTATAGCATTTAGTATAGCTAAATATTTTGATGTAACAATTAAAGATGCAGATCATTTAAAATTAACTAAACGACAAAAAACAAAACGACACTATTCCATAAATCAACAAAAATAAAAAAAACTTATTGATTTGTTTTCTCTAAACTTTATTGTTGTCTTTTTTTTCTCGTTTTTTATTTTGTCATTATTACCTTAGAAATAAAAACAAATATCTCCCAACCCCACCTCCACCCCCCACACTCCATCCCCCGTCCGCAACTAATAGATAATCATAGTTAAAGTCAATGAGATACATTTTTTTTCATCAAAATATACAAGGTATTCTGTGTTTGTTTATTTGTTTGTTTTCATGAATTGTATTGTATATATTTAATCTAGTCAATTGAATACTCTTGTTTTTTTTTTAAATATTAAATGATATTCATTTCATATTTGTGCAATATATTCAATGTGAATGAATTTGCTTTTTATTTTTATGGATAATCAATTTATATTTTACTACTATGATCTAATATTCATTATATATTGATTTGATTATATTGTTATTCAAGGATTAAACATTAGGTTATTTACATCAATAAGAAAATGAGTATGATTGTTTTGTTTTGTTTTTGTTTTTTTTAAGATGAAATAGAAATACATATGATCTTTATGCTTTTATTTTTAATATCAGAAGGGGTTTGTGGAGATTTTAGAAATTTTCACAGATTGAAATCATGAGTCAGTTGAAGCTAGACCACCATTGAAAACCTGGAAGCATTGGACGGCCGTTTCGTCCTAGTATGGGACTCCTCATATATTATTATTCTCATATATTATTTATCATTTTAGTTGATGGTTTTATTTTCTAGCATCGATTTCATGAAGAGGGAAAGGATGCACCAGATATATATGCGCCACACACAACAATAATAAGAATAGGAAGAGATAAAGAATATAAGGTGTGTATGAAAAGAAAAAAAAACAGAACAATAACGACCAAAAATTAGTGTATGGTAGAGAAATAGTAATCATAATAGTGGGGGAAATGAAAAGGTACAGTCAGAAAGAATTCTTTTAGTTAAAGAAGGTTACAGCATGATCCCTACTGGCTTCTATTCTAAGCCATATCTGATAACCTCTATAGCCACTGTGTTACACCATCTCTAGGACCCTAACCAAGGAGTTGTGAATGACCAGCAGATGCCAGTTTTGTACAACTTTCTTTCATACACTAACCACCACCGCTTTTCCTAACCAGTCTCAGCGTCGGCGAATAATGCACGATGTGGATTTCTCTGGGACGACATTTGTCGAACATGTCCAAGCCACCAAAGTCGATGTTTCAAGATTATTGAATTATCGTCTCTGTGCCCGAACACATGATGCTGAAGCTCTGCATTACTAACATGATGTTGCCACTAGATATCGGCAATCGTTCGGAGACAACGATGAACAAATACAGAGAGTCGTCTAACATCCTCAACTCGGTGAGGCCAGGTTTCACAAGCATAGAGTAAAACTGATCTCACCAACGCTACTCTTATAGCTTAGTATTCTCGAACATTTTCACTCGATAAGTCCCCCCCCCCAAAAAAATAAACTGTGGAATAGGAATGTAATTATATTTCAAATAACAAGCTTCAATGGAAGTAGGAACCACAATAATCTATATCCCGCTAACATCATTATCGACTTTAATTATAAGAATGTAAATATAATTCAAATACATATCATCTTGGCTCATTTAATTAAAGGACTTATATATATATATATATATAGTAAGAGAATTGAAATTGTTCGTTTATGGAATACTTGTTATATACTGTCTTATGTTGAGTGAGAAGTATTGATGTAGTATCAGTTGGTATCTATTTCAGATGGCGATAATCGAAAAGGTTTATATTAATAAAAGGGCATTGAAAGGAAGAATAACATTTGATAGGGTATGAAATATGTTCAATTTACCCTCTATCCCTTTATTTATATGAGTTATCAAAAATGTAACTTTTTAAACTCTTAACAAAGAGTCTACCTGTTGGGGATGTTACATCCCCAGAACTCAATTGATGAATACCTTATTTTTGTAATTTTATTTTGAATTTCCTTGTTTTCGCGCCGAAAGCGCTCTCTTCACCTTTATGCCGCATTTCCCACTCGGAAGAATCTTAAACGCTATTGGTTCGTTGTATCTTTTAGTATGCTATTTTGTAACACTTCCCAAGGACAGTTTTATGCTGTATATATACGTTTGATTTGTGCCTGTTGTGATCGCTCGTGCTTCTGACTTTTTGCAAAATATATTTCTCCGTTTCGAACTTGAACTTTTCTCTCTAGTTAGCGGGGTTGAGACGCATCAGAATAGCTAGGTTATTGATCTACGGTCACAAGTCTTTGTTCCGTTCGCAGACTAGGTGAACTCGTAATCGCTTCAAACATAGCAATACCCTTAACAAATATTTTAATTTCTTGAGTTCGGTAACAATTTGTTATCCTTATTTCTATAGTCATGTTATTTTGTATATCTATTTTGAACAGATAGAGGGTAGTTTATTTAGTGGGATGTTTCGAAAGTGCCTGATGAATTTTACTTAATGAAAGTAATCTATGATGTCATTGAATAAGGATTAGAACGATTCAGCGAAGATTTTATTTTCGACAATACTTTATCATTATTACTTTTATTAACTTTATTCAATATCATATATTTTTGGTACAATATAGAATTCTCAGCGCAAAGAATTCCAACAAGTTTCCGTTCTTTACTTCTTGATCAATATTGAGTGATCGCCAGCTAGAAGTTAGCAGTCCAGGGATCGATATCTGAAGAATGTATATTCTTTTTACTATAAGTCGACTCACAATCATTTACATAGCTTATATTCACTGTCTTAGGAACTGATACTAGTTCTCTAGTGTAAACGCAATGATCCAAGTTGAAAGCAATCAAATCACGGAAGATAATTCATCATTGTTTTTTCATGTTAGAAGCAGTTATGATCATTCCATTGAGATATTGGAGAAAAACATAAGTAAGTGGGTTTAAGATAATGTTCATTGAGAGCGCAACAGTAAATCAACCGCAAACATTAATTATGGGTACACGAACATGGAACCGGAACTAGAGCTAAGTGAGGAAGTAAAACAAACAAAAATAGATAACTTGTTGAAATATCTAGATGGCAAGAACAAGTAGCCCAGATGTTAAAACAGGCCGCCAAAATATGAATATAAAATTTACATAAGTTCATTTGATCAAATTACTGAGGTTTAATTCTCGTCCTCTGCTCATTGTTTTCAGAATACCAGAATCAATATTATTATCGACGTGTCAGATTCCATATAGTTTGTATCTAACCTTTATTGGTTTTCGTGGTTATACGTTTCATATGATAGTATTGTTGCATTCAATCGCCTTCTCAATTAAATGTAAATAGGTGATACCTTTTCTCATTGCCTTCTCATGGCAAAGGGGTGGTTTACGAAATCGAGAAGATCAAAAGCGAATGTCCAGCACTTTAACCGGGTTGGTGAAGACGCAAAGTCCACCTATGGGAGTTGGAAAACCCCTATTCCAAACCAATGTTGCATATAGGCTCCAAGATCCTGTAGTAACAAATGGCGTATGAACCTATTATTGGTTACCGGCTCTCTCTACTCAAACACAACTAATCGAGTGAGAGTTTATAGCGAACTGTCATCAGAATTGATTACATCAAGTGGTGTTCGTCAGTACTGTCCATTCTTGTTCAACTTTGTCGTTGATGTACTTTTAGAGATAACACTCATCGTCTAAATTTCCAGAGGTTGAACTTCTACCGGAAGGTTCACTTGTTGACTTAGAGTATGCTGATGACATAGTTTTATTTGGTGAAGACGCTGACAAAATGCAGAGTCTTCTGACCACTCTAAGCAACAATGCAAGAATGTTCGGGATGTGATTCTCCCCCTCGAAATGCAAAATGTTGCTTAAGGATTGGGTTGTATTGACACCCGAACTAACGATAAGGAGTGAAGTAATGGAGCGTGTCGATCGCTTCACTTATCTTGAGAATCCCATCAGCCCTTGTGGTCTGGTGTGTGACGAAATCTCAGTACGGATACAGAAGGCTCGACTAGCTTTTGCCAACTTGCGTCATTGATGGATTAGGAGGGATATCTGTCTATCAACCAAATGACGGGTTTACTGTGTAGCAGTTCGTTCCGTCCTACTTTATGGCAGTGAATCATGGCCGGTAAGAGTCGAGGATATTCGTAGGTTACTAGTATTCGATCATAGGTGTCTTCGAAACATTGCTCGTATATCCTGGGACCATCGAGTAAGTAATGCAGTTGTTAGGAAACGGGTACTAGGTAAGGATGGCAAATCAATTGATGAAGTAGTGAAACTTCATCAGTTGAGATGTCTGGGACACGTGTTACGTATGCCCAACGACCGACTGCCTCGACGTGCGATGTTCAGTGGTATAGGAGTAGGTTGGAAGAAATCTAGAGGCGGCCAAACCAAAACATGGCACAAGTCCATGAAGTCACTGACAAGTGGTCTGAGTCATGTTGGTAGGTGAAGACTACCTGTTTGGGGACCGCAGGATGATAGAAACCGATGGTTAGAGATCTTGAATGATATGACTCAAAGTTGTTTGGAATGGCGCAGTTGCATCCATTCTTTGTATTCTTCCAAATTCTGGTCTTCTGAATTCTCCATGTCCCTTTCTTTTTTCTCTTTCCAAATATATTTCGCTGCATTATACTCCTTGAATAACATCTTCAAACCCTAATGTTTCCGATTACTGCTTATATTTGTATTACTTCTACCACTACGGGATTTGAGTCGACAACTGCATCTCTGTGCTAATGTGGTGTGGCAACTCGAACTGATGTGCGTACTTGCGAAGTTCTACGTTGTTACTGACTGACTGACTGACTGGTTACCGGCTACTATGAGACTGCATCTCCTAACGTTGCTCCACTACCTTGTGGATCAAATGTTTAGGTTGAAGACTCCGGTTTTGGCCCTCTAAGGAAACCACATGCTCCGATCTCGGCATCCAGGCTGTATCCCAGCCCTCACATAAATTGAATGATTTATGTCGCACATATCTGTTTTGTGCCTTCCTGTACCATTGTTTATGTTTAAATAAGTAAGGTGATACTTGTTGCTGAAGAGTCATGAAATAGGACTAAATAACTATCCAATTCTCTCGTAGAACATACATCTTTATCTGTGGATTATTGAAGTTCTTATGGTTATAGGTTTCATTCACAAATACTAGCTCCGTAATACTAATTTCTAACCTTAACCATCAACTGTAAATCATAATTCTAATTCCTCACATACTGGTTTATAACCCTAATTTAGTCCTAGTTATTAGGTGGACACTCTCAAGGTCAGTCTTGCGTCGCTGGAAGCTCGTCCATAAATTATAGTCTCACTGCTTCACATCACAATTACGATTTCCTAGAAAATGATTTCGAAAAACTAAGTTCTATGTTAGAACAGAAATTTAGAAAAGAAAACAGTCCAGAGAATCTCTACTGAACTTCGATGCACTATGGTTATAGCCTTTAAGATAACTAACATGTCTAATATAATAAAAAACGTGCACATAAACAGCGGTAAACAAATAACACAATTATTACACTATAAAACAGTAATAACATCATCAAACGGG